AGCCAACCAAATGGAATTGGCTAGTAAAAGCTTTTGTGGGTGAGCAGTTTGGAAACAAGTTTCAAGACCATTTGCCAGCAAAACCTCAGCAGGTAGAATTTTAAACAACATAAGTTAATATAAAGGCTTGATCTGAAGAAGGCTGGAAAAGCAGGAGAGAGAACATGAAGTAGGTAACATGCCATATTCTCTGAGGGTAAAATTTAAAGTTAGCTTCTCTTATAGTTGCGAAACTACCCATCAGGTCTTTGCATAGAAACAGATGCTTCTGGAAGACAGTCATTCTTCAAAAGATCTCATGCTCCAAACAACGGCCCTAGAGTACATTAAGGTTAGATATCATGCAAGACCTTTTGTGAGCCTTTGGTTTCCTTCAGTGTGATTTGAAAGCAGGATCACACAAGGAAATTTCAAAACCAAACTAAGTAAAAAGACTATTTCCAACTAACATAAACTAGAACTTTATAGGATCTGGTATTACACAAAAAGTGCCCATTGCTTTGGCTCAAGAATCAGCAATTTCCTTATATTTATAATCTTCAAATTAGTTACAACTTTCCCTTATCTTATTCAGCAATCTTGGTGAAGATGAGCATTCCCACATCATGCGCAATTCTCTCTTCAACTTTTAATTTCTCTGGGTACAGAAAAAACTCTGGACCTTTAATTGAGCAATTATTATTTCTTAAGTGAATACAGAGTTTGAGGATAGTGCCAACATCTTCCTTTCATCCAGAGAATAAGTCCAACACAGCGGCATACATTGTCTGGCAACACCCCAGCTTTAGGTAGAAGAGCCAAGAAGACTGAAAGGGAAACTCATTCTTCACCCTTAGTCACTCCTTGGCATCTACTGATGTTCTTGAAAGAATGCCAGTTAGGGCTGATTTACATGTGTCTTTGGAGGTTTTAGATAACTCTTCACTAAGAACTGTTTGTTTTTCTCATTTAGACCATTTCTCCAGAGTAGGATTTGCAAACTTGCTGCTGAATATGCTGTTTGCAGATCATTGCTAGGTTTCCATACTGACATAAAGGACTGGTACTTGAAAAATTCATTAAGAAGTGACTCATTTGAACTCCCAAATCTAAATCTGTGGAGTGATTCTACCACGTTTTCTACGATGTTATCACAGAATTAAAGCAACAGAAAATAAACAGTCTTTATGCAAGGTTTATAAAATATGCCTTGACAAGGAACTTACTGCTTCATAGCTTGAGCCATTGTTTGAGAAATTCTAATTGTCTTAAAATTTTCTTTATATAGAACTGGAATCCACTTCTCTGAAATTTCTACCATTTCTCTTGGTTTTCTAAGATACTTACTGTCTCCTTTGCATAAGAAGCCCTTCGAATATTTGAAGATAGATTCTGTGCTTCTCTTCCTCTGCAGGGTTCTCTTTAATTAAACTACTATTCCTTCAGCTACTCCTAAGGTTATATGGCATCCAAACTTCATCATTAATGAGTAGATTTTGAACATACTCTATTAATAATCAGCTCAATTAACGTTAAAAATATGTACAACTGGTACCTTAAATAATCTTTATGTTTGCTTATGTTTTGATTGAATGCTGTATTTAGTGGTCTATAATACCTAAGATACAATCTAGAAATTGCTATTAAAATGTCAGAAACCCAGCTACAGAAAGCATCTTTTTGGTTGCTTCTATTAATGAAAATTTGACTAGACACTCTTAAGTGATGATTGAAAAATCATGTTGAAATATTATTGCTAGCTACTGGTATAAAATTTCCCTCCAGAGAACTATCACAACTTTAGGATAAAATAAATACAAATTTTAGCAGCCCCTAAAATTGTTAAGAAGACCTTAGATCACTTTGCTTCTTAATTACTGTTTCTAAAAAAAATTATTATACAGTATCAAATTAAAATATAGTTATATTTGAAAAATTCCAAGCATTTATGAAAATATAATAAGCTAACCCTTTAAATCAGACTTGAAGACAGTTTGAATATTCCTTGTATGGCCAGAAAAGTTTCTCTCGTCTTTTGCAAAATGCTAAAATGATGATTTGTCCAACAATGTAGATGGTTAATATTCACCCAAATGACATCAACAATTTAATGCATCATGCTTTTACTTCTCATTAAAATTGCTACTATTGAAGCTTGACTAAATTTCCTTCATGCTTGGCCCTCTAGGTCTGATACCCTACAGTTTTCTTCCTATTTCATACGTTTTGCTTTGTCTTCAGTTATTTTTCTTCCTTCTCTTACCTGCTTTCAAGAAATAGAGGCTCTTTGATGTGCCAATTCCAAATATATTCAGATAAAATGCAAATAATTCAATAGGCTTCTTCAAGAGGGCTGACATTTGAACGTGAGAGGTTGTTTCCCTTACTCATCGGCTCTCCCACTGAGGTTAGATGACCCATGGTAGTGACTTGCTGGAGTGAGTTTTGAATTGGTAAAAAAAACTTCTAATAAAGGAATGATAGCAGAAAGAGAGAAAAAAAAATCAATGGAATAGGAAAGTCCAAATGTATATTCTTATCAAGTATTATACTTGTCCAATAGTTACAAGCCTCTCTGAAAATATTTATATGTGTGGGTGGAGACAAGTTGCCCATTAAATGTAGGAAGCGTTATCAGATTCATCAGGACTTGGTTGTAAATTTGACTACACAGTTTTGGCTCATAGAGAAATAAGGAGGAAATATCTGATTAAAGTGTGCATTGCTGCTGAGGCAACTGAATGTTGCCATAGCAATTGAGATGAAATGTGCAAGAAGTGAGATAATTAAATCTAACCCCTTTAGTAGTTTTGACAGTCAATGCACTGCCAATAGGAAAAGTTATCTACAGTATTAAGATAAAACGCATTCCTCATGGAAAGTCTCCTTACTAGTATTTTGTTGTTCCCTTTCTAAATACATTGCTTTAGGTGTCTAATTTGAATGTTCTCTTTTAATAATCAAATACAGTTTTGACCTTGGTCTACAACTGCTTAGAATTTCTGCTAGTTTATTGTATCATGGGAGCAGACATCTATAAAAAAATATCCAATTTTTTCTCTCCTCAAGTTCTTAAAAAAAGTATACTAAAGCCAAAGCTGTCAGATTTGAGCTTAGAATTCAATAATATCTAGAACGTGCTGCCCTCTTCAGGAGCTGGTGTTTAAAAATACTTTGCTTTTTTTTTTAACAGTTTAGAAATTATAAATATGAATTATAATATCAAAAATTATATTGATAATTATTTGAGAATAAGCACCACATCAGTGAAGTATTCCTAAGTTAAAGAATTTTTTCCATTAAAATATTTCAATAAAAATCAATAAATACAAATTTTGAAATAAATTATTAATATTTATAATGAAGTATGAAAATAGTTTTCTTAAAAGAAACTACAATCATTGGCAGAATTCCTGAATCACTACAGAATTTCAGACTTCCATATTTTCTACCCAAATATTTCTTTAAGAATAAAAATGCCTAAAAAATATGATGTCTTCAATGTCAAAATCTAAATATGACACACTTCAAATCTTAATTTTATTCTCTAGAAAAAAGTAGACTTTGTGAACATCAATATTTGTCATTTGAGGGGCGCCTGGCTGGCTAAGTCAGGAGAGCATGCAACTCCATCTCAGAGTCATGAGTTCAAGCTCCATGTTGGGCATAGATAGAGCTTACTTAAAAATATATATTTGTCATTTGAAATTTTAGCTAGTTCTCATTTGTAGAAACATTATCTTTCTTGGAAGTCATGATTCAGATTACATTTACATATGATAATTTTTATTCAACATTACTTTATTCAAAAATAATCCTGAAGGGTCTGAAATAGCATTATCCAAAAATTCAAGTAAAAACCCTTTCTGAGTGTTATCCATTAAAATTTCGTTAGCCATCATCTAGTTTTGGTAGAGGGGTTGAGGGAGATGAACTCATTGTGTTTTTCTCTAAATTAAGTTTTTGATATTTAAAAAATAAATAAAGGAACGAAAAACGACCAATAGGTAATAACATTTTTCAGGATACGAGAAAAGCATATTTTCTCACATTTGGACATGTTTCTTTCTTTTTTTTTTAAGATTTTATTTATTTATTTGACACAGAGAGACACAGTGAGAGAGGGAACACAAGCAGGGGGAGTGGGAGAGGGAGAAGCAGGCTTCCCGCTGAGTAGGGAGCACAATGCGGAGCTGGATGCAGGGCTCAATCCCAGGATCCTGGGATCATGACCTGAGCCAAAGGCAGATGCTTAATGGCTGAGCCACCCAGGCGCCCCTGGACATGTTTCTTTATATTAGAACTATTGACATTAAGAAAGGTTATTTTTTACTAATTATTAAATGTGAAAGTGTTAATTAAAAAAATTTAAAGAACACAATAAATTCAAGAGCAAATGCTTTTTTTAAAATATAATTTTGTTCTAATTATTATCATGTGATGCAATTAAAACCTTGTTTTTAATCAACAGAAAACAATAAGAATATAAATAATGCTTTATTATCATTTATTTAGTGTGAAAAAATAGGAGCTTGGACTCCTAATTTTGTTTCTCAGTTCCTACATCAGATTTCCAGTTCAAGATTCCAAACAGGAAACTAATTTACATTTTTAAAAAAATGGTCATTAATGTTGACTTCAAGAAAGTAGAGTGAACCTCAGATTTCCCTTAAAAAGTTCTAGGCATGGCTGTCCCCTCTGTATCATTGAAAGATTCAACTGAGCGAAAGGGGAGAAGAATAAACAGTTCATTGACAATATTCTCTTAATCCTATATTTGTTTGCGGAAAATAAAATGTTTTATTTCAGTCTTTGAAACTACTTATCACAATTGTTTAATCTTTTAAAGTAGCTCTGTCCAAAGGCATGCAATATGTGTTCAATAATTCTTAGAACACTGATTCATGTTTTCTGCAATAGATTTACTTCATTTTTGTTTTGCTGCTGATGCATTACATTTGGTGGTTAGAACCCCTGTGGATGGAGGTATAATAAATAATAATATTTTCTTTGCTTTCCAGGGTATGTATGGCATAATGATAAATTTCATTTTTCCCAGAATGGTAAGTAAAGAACTCTTTCTATATATGATAGTACTCAATACAAAAAAGAAAACGTGAATTGTTATAATAAAAGTGGAGTGGCATTTGCTAAATATATTGAATGATCTTATAATTATAAGGTACCTTATACTCTTGAAATAAATGGATGCTGCATTCAAATTCTATAAGCATTCCAAAATTCTCACCATATATGCTCCAGGTTCTTCAGAGGGAATATAAAGTTTCTGTTTTCTTTGTTGTATTGCATTTGAACACAGTGTAGTCAACATTTTGTTTTCTGGGGTAATTTATTTTAAAATATACACAGATATAGAAATAAATGTGGTTTATATACTATGAGCATAAAGAAAAAGCATATCTGTGATACATATTGAGAGTGAGTGAGTAAGAGTCCTTTGGAATTTTTACTGTTACATAAAAACTGATTGTAATTTATGTTTGACCAGGGCTTTGCAGCATCTGTGAATTTAAAAATGTTTGTTTTTTAAGAGCATATATCATAACTTCTCCTAGGCAAGCTAGATACTGTATGATTTTGTTTAAACACATAGTTTTCTTGCCTTTTGTTTTTATGATGCAAAAATGGTAATATTTAGTTTTAGTCTTAATCATAACCTCTTTACAATTCAAATAACAATAAAAATTAATTTTATTGACTGGGAAAGGTCAATGTAAAATGATATTTCTCAGCAAGTTATTACTGTCTCCTATGAAGTTTTTTTTCCCCTCAGTGGTCTTCGATATTCCCTATAAAAAGAAGGAATTTCTCACTGTAGGAAAAAATCTCTTTGAAATAAACCAATCATCAAAAAGTATTAATAAGTGAAAAAGCACAACACAGAATACATACATTATATATTGTGTACATGTGTGCGTGTGCATCCAGTGGAGAGAGAATTGAGAGCATACTGGTGGTAAGCTTAGAAAAAGTTTCACAAAAGATGCACAAAACAGTGGGAATATGGGTGGTTTAATAGTCTTCATTCCATCTTCATTTCCAATAATAAATATGTATTATGGGGTGCCTGGGTGGCTCAGTCAGTTAAACATCTGCCTTCGGCTGAGGTCATGATCCCAGGGTCCTGGGATCAAGCCCCGTGTCAGGCTTCTTGCTCAGTGGGGAGTCTGTTTCTCCCTCTCCCTCTGCCCTTCTCCTCGCCCCCTGCTTGTGCTCTCACTCTATCTCAAACAAATAAGTAAAATCTTTAAAAAAATATATGTATGATTTTTATAATCAGAATGAAAGTATTATTTGAATAGGCTACTCAAAACTGTATATTCATTATTAATGAAATATAGATCTATATAATAGAGGAAATACCTCTTGTGCCAGTTGCATAATCAAAATGATCTTATACAATTTAAAAAAAGCAAAAACAAAAACAAAAAAAACCACCTAATCACAGAAGGAGCCAAAAATATAAATTGAAGATTACTTGGATTAAAAAAAAAAAAAAGACAATGAAGGATTTTAAATGAGGTCTAGGCTATCACTTTTATTAATTTTACTACAATACAAAAGTGCTCCTAGAATTCAGGCAAATGTGTGTGAAAAAAATAAACATTTTTGGTATTTTAGGAACTTTTTCAGAACAAAATGTCTAGGGGCACCTGGCTGACTCAGTCAGTAGAACATGTGACTCTGAATCTCCCGGTTGTAAATTTGAGTCCCATGTTGGGTGTAGAGATTACTTGAAAATAAAATCTCTTATAGATAAATAAATAAATAGATATTTTTTAAAAAGGAGAAAAGATCTAGCTAGGGAAAGGCTAAAACATGAAGGTAAAACTTTTAAAATAACTCAAATTTTAAGTCAGTAAATCAAACTCCTCAATAATAACAAAACCTTTGATCTAAAATCTGTGTAATTTACTCATCTACAACCAAATAGTCATCTCTGCAAGTTTAATGTGTAGAATTATTTTAAGGTACAAGATTGAAAGAAAGTATAATAGACAACCAGGCAATTATAAAGAACGTTTAGCACAAGATACCTTAAAGATAAAGATATCTTTAGTATATTTAGATATAACATCTTTAGTTGTATCTTTAGTACAACTGACATATCATGACATTTTAGAAAAAAAAATAAAATTAACTTTCCATCCATAACCTAGATTGCGTCAACGTAACAAATTATTGGATAACTAAAACATCTGCTCATTCCAATTATTTCTTTCTGATTTGTAACTGCAAATTTAAGCAAGCCACTCATTTTCTGTACTACATGAACTGAATTGAAATGTAAATACATATTTTGTTTGACATGTATCTATTCAAACTAACTTTAAAATAAAATAAATCTTCAGCATTAACAAGTTTTTCTAGTAGATTAGAGATAAATGCCAACTATTTAAATAAAGCAAATTTCTCAGTGTAATTAATCTGCACTTCAACAAAATAGATCTTTCCTCTCATTCCCAATTCTGACTTAATGAACAAAGATTGAACGCATATTTCTGTGAATAGTCACAGCATCTAGTCTTCAATGAATAATAAAATATATTATTTCTGAGAACATTAATAAAAATTTGTTACTTTATTTCATTAATGACAAAAATTTCATATTGGAGTTAACTATAGCCAATAGTCATTTTGCCATTTATCTTTTAAAATTCCACAACAGTTTCCAATATATCAAATGTCAATTTTTAGAGCAGATGTAGTAATAGTAAAGAATTGTTAATTGGCCAACAGGTTGATTAGTTTTAAGATATTGAAAAAAGCAAAGATTAAAAACAGTTCTCTCCTTTTCCTTCAATTAAAATTGCATGCAATTATTCTTGTAGATTATAGATCTCTTTTGGGATTTCCGGTCTCATATAACTTTTTGGTTCATTTCACAGGAATAATATTCATCTTAATTAGCAAAAAACAGTTGATGGGCTTTTTATAAGAGGGAGTTCACTCCATGCACTGAATACTGCCACTAGATTATTCTGTTTAAAAATAATAATAATAATAATAAAGCTCTGCTTTTAGAGCAGTTAAATATGTTATCTGTTGATAGCCATTGTCTTTGAAGACAAGATGTCTTTCTTTTTTTTTAAGATTTTATTTATTTTTCAACAGAGAGAGAGACAGCAAGAGAGGGAACACAAGCAGGGGGAGTGGGAGAGGGAGAAGTAGGCTTCCCGCCGAGCAGGGAGCCTGATGCAGGGCTTGATCCCAGGACCCTGGGATCATGACCTGAGCCGAAGGCAGATGTTTAATGACTGAGCCACCCAAGCAGCCCAGATTTTGCTTATTTTGAGATAGAGAGAGAGGGAGAGCAGGAGTGGTAGGTAGAAGCAGAGGGAGAAGCAGACTCCCCAGTGAGCAGGGAGCTCGATGTGGGGCTCAATCCCAGGACCCCAAGACCCCGGGATCATGACCAAGTGCCCCAATTATTTCTTTTTTAAAGTGATGGTTTCAAACATTTCTTTCTGATACATGGTAGCACAAATTTTTGTATTTTTATTTTATCCAGAAAACCTTCTGAACTTTCTAATTAATTCTCATAATTTATCTGTATTTTCTCTTATATTTCCTATGGAAACAATGATTTCTTCTGTGAGGAATTTCATTTTTATTTCTTCTAGTTCTTATACCATTTCGTTTTTGTATATTCCACCAAGTCGACATCATGCCCAGTATTGTACAGAAATGGTGATAGTAGACAGCTTTGTTTTTCCCTGATTTTTAAAAAAAATGCTATGAAAATTTCACCATTAAATTGTGGGGGTTTTGTAGATATCCTCTATCAAGTTAAAAGTTTTTCCTTTTTTTTATCTTTGATGGATATGAAATTTTACCATTTTTTTTCTACAGTAATTTAGAGGACAACATAATTTCTCTCACAAATGGTTGTTGAACACTGAAATATTTCTTACCTTAAGGACATTTACTGAATGGGGTGAGCAAGAATTTTACTTTTCATGTTCTTGCTCGTACTAGAAAAAATGACAAAGCCCAAGGCTTAGTGCTAGGATCCAAAATGGATATATCCTCATCATTAACCTGGTCTACAAATAAATCCATCCCATAGAGGACTGCAAGAAAAATTGTAAGTCTTAAATGCATAACTAAAGAGAAAAAAAAATTCTCCTCTGAAAATTCATAATCATAAACCAGCCTTACTTTGTTTCTAGCAAAAATTCACATAATCTCAGTGGTCTAAAGACTCCAAGATAAAAATTTAAGCTGGTCCCTAGTTGTGCCTTTTGGGCTTAGTAAAATCAAAAGAAAATCCACTCTAGAGAGCCCATCTTTATTCCATCACTCCAAGAATTTTAACAGATAAAATTCCATTAGTATAAGCCCACAGTCAGAAATCACAAACACACTATTAAAAAAACGGAGGGGGCAAATGATCAAGAATCAGGTGAAAAAAGATAAAAAGCAAAATCAGACCCACAAAGACTTCAAATATTAGAATTACCATTTTCATTCTTTTTTGTCTTTTTTATTCTTCCCTTCATTGATGCACATAAAACTAAATTCAAAAATATTTTTTTGGATTTAATTTCCTCATGAATAACATAAACTTTCCTTTCTATAATGTTATAAATTAGTAATATAGTGAGGTTTAACTTGCAAGCTAAACCTGGTTATATTGAAATGGAATTTGATCACATTTATTTACCAAGCTATAAGAACTTTGGGAAAAAAAAAGAGTAGAAATAAGAATAGATACTTTTTTGTTCAGCTTAAATAAACCAGTAAAGATGGTAAATACTGTACTAGAATAAAAATACCAAAATGTATATTGATGGTTATTACAAAAAATCTATTTTTCAAACTTTTTTTGTAGACAGATTCCATTTAGCTGAATACTCAAAATGATAAGCATATTCTAAATTTTTAGAATATCCTTTATTTTTGCAACATGTTATTTTCACCCAAAATCTCAAGGACTTCCAAATATTTTTACATTTGTGTTTTGGAAATTTCTAGAAAGGAATTTATTCTCACTTGACCTTGAACTCCTGATTGGTCTTATGGTACCCACTGGCCAAAA